CCCCCCCCCCCCCAACTCTTACCCCTCACCTCTGCCCCTGTATTATATTATGACAAGAGCCACAACCAAGCAAACAGGAAGTTATTCAATGGAACTGTATGGGCAGATAATCCATCTCCCCAGCCTAATGTCCCATCTGCTCCAAATGTGACTCCCTGCAGCACTGTGCTTTTTGTTTTGTACTTTTCGACGGAGGGAACAACAAGTTGGAATTTATTACTATATACATGTACATGTATACTGCATGCCAAAATGGGATACACGTCGTTTCACTTTCGCATGAGCAAATCACCAGCCACTCCAAGGAACCAGGAATTAAACGGGCAGAAATAAATTCAGGAGTTTTAACTAAAGGGACTCAACCTGTTTTTTTGTTTTCCTACGTGACTCGATATTTTTAGCAACCAACATGATGGGCGCGTACCTGCAATTTCATACCAAGTTTTCGTGTCTTCTTCCTTGGACTCCTTTGCAATCTTGTCAAAATACGTTACCAGCTGCAGAATGAAGCAAAATGGTACTCTTAAAATGACATTTTCATTTCGAAAGTAAAAGATCTTCACTGAGGAAGAAAGGTTTTCAATCTCCATGATTTTGACTGAAGTGACGTTTCCTTGATAAGAGTCTTTAGTCTCCTTAGCCAGCGGTAAAAATTCGGCAAAAAATCTCCCGCCCGCGGACCACCCGGGTAGCGATGAAGGAAACGTTTGTTTTTATCTCTGTGAATGTTCTTTTTGTTTAATATCCATAACTTGTTCAACAAAGTATTTTAATATTTCACTAAAATCCTAGGCTACTCTGTAAACTACACTTGTTGCGCTTTTTTTTTTCTACTTTTATCTTTTTCTAAATACCCTCCCCTCCCGAATGTGTTTTTGTTTCCCGAACCAGTCTCTTCTCTTTTTTTTAGAACAACAAGATGGCGGCTGTCATGATTGCAGAGCAACCAAAAAAATTATCAAGTTACAGGTCATAAATCGCCACAAAACATTCGAAGCAACAGGGAGAAAATAAAACTGAGACAACCCTGATAAAGATGAGTTCTGTCGTAAACCACTGGACTCAAAACCTTGAGGAATTCCGTCGCTCTCCGGGGACTTTTCTGGCGGCAAGAAACATCACTGCACACAGTTTCGTATTAGACATCCTCGAGGTAAGCAATTTAGGATATAAATGATAGCTTTCTTCTTTTTCCCGCTGGGACTGGCGTTGAATGTTGGCCCATTGGGTCACTTGGGCCAGTAGGGTCGAAAACAGATTTCACCTCTTACTTTTCTCATGGTTTAATTTCTTTATATCACGAACCCTGGACTCGATACTCGATAATAGGGATTCAATACAGTTAGTAGCAGTAGTAGCATCTTGCATTCAAAAGATGGCACTGGACTCTTTCAAATCGTTAGCGTTAAAGCTTAAAGGTCTGCATACTAGCCAAGAGCTGAGGCAGGAGCTCATCCTAGAGGCGACTAATAGTATGTCTACTCCTGCCCCACCCCCTTGAGTGGGATGCCAGTCCATTGTAGGGTTACCCCCAGCATTAAATTTGCTGCTACCCATTGGTACAATTGGGTGGAGGGCAGCACTGTAAGACAATGTCCACGGCCAGGGCTTGAGCCTGAACCACTCGATCTGCCGCCACAGTGTAGCCTACATAAAATACAAACTGGGTTTTAGATATGTTACATATACATGTACATGTTAATAACCAAAATCCAGTTTGCATTTTAGTGTTACTGTGATATTAGTGCTGAACTAGAGAGTTGATGTGATCAGAAAATTGTATAATATTAAATGTACTTTATCAGGTTCTTTGTCGTGAAAACCTTCCTGAAAACTTGAAGCTTAAGCTGCTATTCTTACTTCAAGAAAAGGTACATTCATTGACTTTGTTTAACTATTAGACTGCAAGCTGCCATACGTTATACTTTGCCTGTGCTGTTTTTACTTACCAGTCACTGTTGTTTCCATTACAGTAAAATAGTTACATGTATCGCAACAACCTCAGGTACATTGTACACCTGAAAAGTTGAACTCTGTTCAACTTCTTAGGCATACCTGCTGTACCAGGTCATATAGGCAACAATAAGATTGATCAACCTTTAAAAGTGTACATGCGAGAATAATAATAATAATAATAATAATAATAATAATAATAATAATAATAATAATAATAATAATAATAATAATAATAGATTTGTATAGCGCCATATCCA